AGGTCGGTGTTTTGAGAAAATACTTTTATTTTCTCAAAATGCCAATTACAAACGCTACAAAATGTGTGTGTGTGTGTGTATATATATATATATATATATATATATATATATATATATATACACACACACACACACACACACACAAATCATTTATTTAAATATATATATATATATATATATATATATATATATATATATATATATATATATATATATTTATTTATTTATGTATTGATAGATTGATGGATAAAAATTATAATTAATTAAATATATACATTTATATAATACACTATATTTATTAAATAAATATAAATATTATATAATGTGCAAAGGGTATTTTTGTTATTTGTGATATAAAAGCTATTCCCAAGGGCATGGGAATAGCTAATACCAAGGCCCCCCTAAATGGCTATTCCTCTTGCGAAGGTAATAGCTCATTCCTAGGCATGTTATTCCCATGATAAAATGATCCAACCAAACGATGGAATATGTCTATTCCAAGGAATGTTATTCCATTCCTGACCTATTCCGTGAACCAAACATGCCACAATTGTCTTGAATGTCTTTGCGTCTCTATTTGCTATTTATATGTTTATTTGTCTGTTATGTCCTGTAACGTGTTCTTAGGACGCATGCTAGCCTTTATGATTATCCTATATTGTCGGGTCTATTGTTGTGCCTTTAGTCTTGATCTTGGATTTAAATTAGAGTTTCGTAAGCATATATATGTATTCCAGTTTCAAAATCATTTCTTATATCTACCTATATTATACTTAACACGTTGGAGTGGGTTACCAGCATTATTTGCTGACGGTTATTACACCGTATGTTTTTCGGGTACGAGCCAGTAGCTTCGGAGCGCGTTAGATGAACTCGTGGATTTAGCTTAGTATTAGTTAGATGGCATGTGAGCCTTGATTTGTATTGAGGATATTAATTATGACTTATGCTTTGTTTAGTTAGTTTAGCCTGTGCATCTAGGTTCTCAAACCTAGATGTGGCATAGCACCCCGATACTTATGTTGTTAGTTCTGCTTTGTTTGGATGATTAATGATAGATTTGCCTTTATTTTATAAGCTTTAAATGTTTTAAAAAAAATGAGAAGTGTCACACCTATACCCCTGAAACGACTCAGGATAACCCAGAAAGACACAAGGAGAAGATCTTTATGAAATTTTATGACGATTGTATGGTTGTAGATAAGGATAACATAGACATCCAAATACACGAAGGAAAGAATAGGACTGAGAGGATTTATGCAACATTAAATGAGGACTGGAGTTATTTAACAGAGTAGATGGTGTTGGTTTTACAGCTTGGGGTAGCCGGTCGACGGGCTAACACTACCGTAAAATATTAGGTTAACGAAGCAGAGTAATGTGTGGCGAAAAATAAGTAGAGTAATGTGGTGTTATTCAAGAATTAGACGCTTTACAAGGTGATCCCGGGGGGTATTTATACAAGGAGAATGATCCTTTATAAGGCAAGGAGGGGAAAAATAACTAAACCAGCTTTGGAATCTACCATATCAACGCGGTAACTACCTAAAATAAGAAAAGAAAAATACTTGCTGAACAAGGAAAGAATCCCGGCAAAATCTGCCATTAATGGCCTTTAGAACGCGCACTCGGTCGGGGACACTCCGATGGCCTGGCTTGGTCGCTTGCTTAGGCCAGCTGAGGCACCTAGACATGAACACTCCGACTACTGAGCCTGTCGCCCACCCGAGCTCTTTGGAGCGCTCCGTCGGGGACACTTAAACTACTGTGCCTGGTCGCCAACCTGAGCCAGCTATTAGCCCGACCGGGGACACACCAACCAGGTGGCCTAGTCTCCCAGGTGTTTGCGTCATCGTTGCTTGAGGAGGAAACACCCTCTACCGAATTGCTATGTGTTCTTGTGCAGTCGGGCCTGACTACACTTCATGTTCCCAGGCTGAGTGCCTGACTAGGGGTATCTATCACTAGTCCCTCACTTTTCTGAGGTCTAGTCGAGTGACAACTCAGAAAGTAGAATAAAGAACGCCACAGAAACGCTTAAGATCCGGACAGCCATGCTGTCATCTTCTTCCAAGCCAGATAAGCACTCACCATGGTGCACATACATATGCTGACTGGTTTCAAGAATAGGTATGGTCACTAACATGTAATTGTGGCAACTCCTAGATTCCCGCCGGTTACAACCCCAAAGCGCGTTTTCCCATAATCGTATTGTCAAACATTGCGTCACTTCCCCAACCGTTCGATGGATACACATGTCACGATCTGGCCGGTCGGCGATACTTATAAATAACCCTATCCGCAACCCATTTCTTCTTTGGCACTCTAACTCTTCCTCTCCAACCTTCCTGGCGACCTTGTTCTTCCCTTCTTATCCGGCGACCTTATTCTTCCCTTCTTCTCCAGCGACCTTGCTCTTCCCTTCTTCTCCGGCAACCGACGTTCCACCCTTTCCGAGTCAGTTCCACCATTCTCCCGGCCGTCGCCTCTCTTTTCCGTCAAGGTTAGCCTCCTTTCTTCGTCTTTCTCCTTTTGTTTCATACCATGTCCTCGTCGCTCTCACATTCTACCTCTACCTCTAGCGCCCGTCAAGGCCAGACGTTAAGAGCATCAAGAACCTCAAGAACATCAAGAAGCCATCATATAACACCCTAAAGACAAGCTCTAAACATAATTAAATACAAGAACATGCAAACCACCACACAAGATCATCAAGATCATCAAGAATAACATGAATCCACATCGTAAATCCTAAAGACAAGCTCTAACAAGGCATAAATACAAAATCACACATACAATCATTCAAAGGAGCCAATCAATGAAAGATAGCAAGGAAAATAGGTTTTGTAAGACATGGTTTACCTCGTAGCTTTAATTAAACTTCTTACGACTTCTAGGATCTTTCCTCAAGGTCCTCCCTAAGCCCGGTGATGGGGAATTCTTTGACTATGTTTTGGGGAGGAATTTTCGAGTGAGGGAATGGGGATGGGTGAAACGGGTTCTAAATGTTTTCTAATCCCATTTAAATAGATTTAGGATTCCCAATTAGAATCTGAATAGGTAAGGGGTTTAGGATCCCCAATTAGAATCTGAATAGGTAAGGGGTTTAGGATCCCTAATACGAATCTGAAAAGGTAAGAGGTTTAAGACTCCTAATACGAATTTGAAAAGGTAAGAGGTTTAGGATTCCTAATACGAATCTGAAAAGGTAAGAGGGCCCCCCATTACTTTATCCAAAAGGCTAACGGGCTTTATTTTAGACAAAGACCCACGGTCCACCATGGACCCTATCAATAAATTAAGGGATTTGGATATATGTATATATTTTTAGCAAACTATTTAATTATAAGCGAATAGTTCTATTTGGATAATATTTATATTTAATATAAATATTTAGGAAAACACAGGGTGTTACACTCTACCCCCTTACAAGAAGCTTCGTCCTCGAAGCTTAGAAATCATCTTGGGAATAAAGAGTCAGAATTAGTACGGTAGTATATAGGGAAAATATTTTACGAGAAAAAAAAAAAATATATATATATATATATATATATATATATATATATATATATATATATATATATATATATATAACCAACTGGAACACCCCTGATTTTCAGCATAAATTTAAAACCATTAAAGCTTACAAAATAAGAGCAAGTCTATCATTAATATCCCAAACAAGCGGAAGCTAAACATAAGTGTTGGGGTGCTATGCCACATCTAAGTTTGAGAACCTAGATGCCCAGGCTAAAACTTAACTACACAAAGTATAAATCATAATCATTATCCAAATACAAGCATGGCTCACATGCCGTCTAACTAAGACTAACTATTATCTAACTAGGAACCGCAGCTCCGACTAGCGCGCTCACGAGCCAACTAATCAGTACCTAAAAAACATGCGGTGTAGCAATCGTTAGCGAATAATGCTAAGTAACTCACTCCTACCCGTTGAGTACCATAAGCATATAAATATAGGAAAACCCTTTTGAGACTTGAGAATACATAAATATAGACCTAAACAACTCTAACTTTAAAACCAGAGATAAGACTCAAGACACACCAACAGACTTGACACAACGAGACACATAAAGACACAAGCATGCAAACTACGACTACAAGACAAGACGACAATACGACACAACAATAACAAGCAACACAACAAACACGTCCATGTTCCAACATTTACGCCTCTCCAACCTTATATCAGTTCCAACCTGTACCTCCAGGCCACCCTACACACCACATCATTATCCCTCCAGAGCACCGCATGCTCCCCGCCGACATAACCGCCAACAAGACCACCGATCTCTTAGCATCCGCGATGCAATTAAATCACACACAAGTACAGCAGTACCATCACACACAAGCACGCGCAGTGCATCAAACCGCCAACATATCTTTTCAACCAATCTCATATCTTTTCTCATCATGGACAACAACACAACAAACAAGACTCGACAACGACTTCATAAGGGGATAATTAGGGGAATGACACGTCATGCATATTGAATCTCAACAACAGGTGACCTCAAGGCGACCACAAGACTCATAAAGGCCACTATAGACGATACTCTGACACCACACGTTACAGGTATGGGCCACATGTAAAGACACGACTCACAATTCACATCACGGTACTTAAGACATCGTACTAACAAACATCAAACGGGGTACATCGGGACATGGGGAAACGACCAATGGAGACCCACGACACAACTCACCGCCCGTACCATCGGGCGGTACGGCGGGAGGACATCCTCCCGCCGGCGGGTGGCCAGCCACCCGCTGGAACCGTGGACAATCCCGGCGGGTAGTCAGGTGGGGGTTCGTCCCCCCACCGACTACCCGCTAGAACATGTTTCTTGGCTAATTTTCCCATCCCGGAAATTCCCCAATTTTACCCAAAATCAAGTCCAAACACGCCCGAACACATATCAACAACAATAGGGACTTGAACACATAGAATAAGCCAAGAAACAACACAATTGGACCCTAAACACCAACTCTAATCATGCCAAGACTCAAGAATAAACACGTAACGATTCAAGTGCATCAAGAACCTCAAGAACATCAAGAATTCATTGTATACACCACCACACAAGATCATCAAGAATAACAAGAATCCATGTCATAAATCCTAAAGACAAGCTCTAACAAGGCATAAATACAAAATCACACATACAATAATTTAATGGAGCCAATCAATAAAAATAGCAAGGAAAATAGGTTTTGTAAGACATGGGTTACCTTTTAGCTTAATTAAACTTCTCACAACTTCCTAAGATCTTTCCTCAATCGATCCGCCCTAAACCCGGTGGTGGGGAATTCTTTGACTATGTTTTGGGGAGGGATTTTCGAGTGAGGGAATAGGGATGGATGAAACGGGTTCTAAATGCTTTCTAATCCCCTTTAAATAGATTTAGGATTCCCAATTAGAATCTGAATAGGTAAGGGGTTTAGGATCCCTAATACGAATCTGAAAAGGTAAGAGGTTTGGGACTCTTAATACGAATCTAAAAAGGTAAGAGGTTTAGGATTCCCAATACAAATCTGAAAAGGTAAGAGGGCCCCCCTTACTTTATCCAAAGGGCTAACAGGCTTTATTTTACACAAAGGAAATTAAGGGATTTGGGTATCTGTATATATTTTTAGCAAACTATTTAATCATAAGTAAATAGTTTTATTTGGATTATATTTATATTTAATATAAATATTTAGGAAAACACGGGGTGTTACACTCTACCCCCTTACAAGAAGTTTAGAAATCATCTTTACTTGGGGTAAAAATGAATGCTACTGACTCTATTACATTGTATCTGTTCATTTTTTTTTTTTGCATGCTACTAACTCTATTACATTGTAGTATCTGTTCAAACATACTTTCTCAACCTAATGAAGCACAAATTGTCAACAACGCCTCCACTGAGGCTCGATCTCATGACCTCCCATATGGGAGAGGTCACTACATGTCATCTTAGCTAGGGTTGTAAAAATCCCGCCTAGGCACCGAGTAATCGGCGCCTAGGCGCTGGGCGCCCATAGGCCGTGGCGATTTCCGCCCTAGGCTCCCGCCTAGCGCCTAATTCAGCCGCCTTGCGCCTAACTCGTCCGATTACGCCGAGTTAACTCGTCAATTTCTGTCGAGTTAGTCGAGTTAACCCGACCAACTCGACCTTGCTAATTTTTTCCATTTATATTACAAATACATATAATATGACATATATATACTCGTAGACTAGTTTGATACTTTCAATCTTTGGATGATTGAAGTATTTGGGTATTTCATTTGAGTTTTTATTTTTTTAATATTCTTTTGATGTTATGACTTATGAATTGTCATTATTTCATTTATTTGGATGTGTTATTTGATTGAATGTTGAAAACAGCCTCATTAAAATTGTCAAATTGCAAGTCTGCTACTGTTTTTTTCGCGACCGCCTAGCACCGCCTAGATTCCGCCTAGGCGCCGACTAGGCCGCTTAGGCGCTAGGCGCTGCCCGGACGCCCGACTAGCGCCCAGCGCCTACTGCAACCATATTCTTAGCACAAAATTCTTGGCTTGTGTAATTTTATTTAGTTATTTGACAAACATTGTTATAACCCTTTCAAAATCATTGCCCACGTATTATGCGCAGAATTCCCATTACTATGGGCTCTTTGATTTGATTAATATTATTGAACAGTTCATATGACAAGAGAGCCATTCTGCCATGTTTTGTGGGATTTTTGAACTATAAATTTGTTGTCTATTAGTAAACAAATTAAGTTTTTAGAGTTTTTTTTAAAAAAAAAAAAAACTTTCATCGTATGATTTTAGAGTCTCTATTAATTTGGGCTGATAACATTCATTCCTGATATAAGTAGTGTTTGACTTTAATTTGATTTTTTTTTTTTTTAAGATTTAGTCCTTCCGACAACATGACCAAGGAAAACTCACCAGAAGTCTTGGATCGTGAGTCCGATCTCGGAATTCATATATACTCCCTAGCTTCCTCACCTCGCAATTTAATTAGCAGACCTTATGGATTAAGTTTTATTTATTTATTTTGGATGGAACAGTTGAGTCATCCTTCTGCTATAAGCATGTCTGATGATATAGTGAATTCCTCCAAAGAAAGAATATCGACATGTTTTTTGATTATGATGGCACTCTTTCCCCATTGTTGAAGACCCCGACAAAGCTTTCATGGGCTCCGAGGTTGGTTTAACATTAGAATTGTTTATAATTTCATCTTTAATTTTATTATCTAAATATATAATAAAAAAATGAGTTACTTACCAAAATGGTCCCTGGCTATTGCGAAATTACCAATTTGGTCCTCGATTATTTTTTTTACCCAATAAATTCCTCGACTTTGTAAATGTTAACCAATATGGTCCTCCATTAGGTTTGAGGTCTAAAACCTGTTAAAGTCGAGGGTAATAAAGGAATTTCACCGTTAATATCTACCCTTGCCGATCCCATTTTCCGGTCGATTATGCCTTCTTTAATGGCACATCTTCTCTAGTGGTCAACGGCTCCACTACTTACACCAATGTCTTGGATGCCAATTACGATGTGCTGGTATGGTCTCTGGAGAAAAACGCGTTCGGAGCATTGCCCATAATCATTGGGCAAGTTGGGTGGCTGACAAACGGCGACAAGAACGCGAATGTGGAGTATGGGCTCTGCAGCTACGCCTACTGCACCAGCCTCGGCTACGGATCCTCTTGCGGCAGCCTGGACGCCCGCAGCAACGCTTCTTAACGCCGCCCAACTCCTCGCCTTTGCCGGAAAACCCCTCCGGCAAGCCCTTCAGCTTGGGGGGAATATTCGTCACCACCCAAACCACCCACGGAAAAATGGGTGCGTCAGGATCCGGGGTATCAATGTCCTGCACCACTAACGCCAATCTCTTCGTTCTCGCGGGCAAATTGTATCATTCCAAAGGCAGCGACAATTTCATCTTAGCACCTTGACCTTCATCCATGTATTTTCTAGGTAACCTGCCTTCGTGGCTGATGGGAAATAAAGATTCACAGAGATGGAGAGGGAGAGAGAGAGAGAGATAAATATTAGAAATCAAAGTGAAGAGAGAGAAATGGGAAATTAAAGGAGGTGAAGAAGAAAGCTTCAGAACAAAGGTCTAAACCGGCAATAACAAAATAGAGCTCTCTTGAATCTTGATTAACCGCCGCCTACACCAGCCTGAACTCATCATTGTATCTTGATTCTTGATTAACCACCGCCCAGACCTTCATCCGTGTATTTTCTAGGTAACAAAGGTCCAAACTGCATTTATATCCCATGCTGACACCAGCCTGAACTCATCACTTGCAGTACCTTGCGACAGCCTGGACACCCACACCAATATTGAGGAGTTGGGCGGCGAAATTACCTTCAGCCCAGCAGCGGCCACAGCGAAGACAGCCACATCCACAACACACCCGGAGCCAACCGTTGCTAGTACCCAGAGCCGACCAAACATTGCTAGTACCCGGAGCCAGCCGTTGCTGCTGTATGAACAAAAGAGAGAGCGCCAGCTGGATAAATCAGTTGCGATAGTTTTCAACATTGACAGAGAGGTGAGGCAGTCGCGGGTGGTTGTTTGACAATTGACATCATCGGCGGAGAGGTGGCTATGACCAGTAATAACATCATAAGTAAGGAAAAATTTTAACTCTTTCAAAAAAAATAAAAAATTACCGTGCTGCGTTGTGGCCGGCGAGAGGTGGATGTGGCTGTCTTCGCTGTGGCCGGGCTGCGCGTCAATGGTCGGCGACAAGGGAAGAGCTGAAGCCGACAAAGGCCGGGTTGTACTAACCGCCGCTGCCTCTGCTGTATCTGCTGTACCGGGGAAGATGAGAGTGTGAAGCGGTCCGCAATGTGAATGAGGAGAAATAGATGGAATTACCTTTTTGTCCTTAAATTTAACAGCTTTATGGATGGAATTTTAATAGAGGACCAAAATGGTTAACATTTTCAAAGTCAAGGACTTAATTGGGTAAGAAAAATTGTTGAGGACTAAATTGGTAAATTCGCAATAGTCGAGGGACCATTTCGGTTATAAACTCATAAAAAAAAAAAATTTATCCGTACATCGCACACGCACATGGCACGCGCATCGCACGAGTAATTAAACAATTATTTGCTCAAATTCAAGCAATGATAACATTAGAAAACATAATCAATACAACCCTTTTTTTTTTTTTTTTTAAAGTCCAAAAGCAAGCAGTGTACATATACGTATACTGACACAAATATATCAAAGTCATCAACTCTAGCTAGAGCTTTTGAAAGAGTTTTCTCAGTTATAGTACATCCAATTAATTGGTACATGAACCTTTAACCTCGCTTCACTAATCGTTGAACGTAGGATTTGTTGGAGGCCGGATCTCCCCTTTCTTCACCTTCTTCAATTCCCACCTTTCATAAAATCTCTCCAACTGGACACCCTCTTCTCCCTTGTCCCTTCCCACTGTTCCTCATGCTCACGCTTCCTTTTCCACATCTCTTTCTGCTTCCTCATCCTTCTTCAAACGACCTTCCTAGCTCCTCAGAAATCCTCATCTGCATTTTCCTTCTCCGCCATTCTGTTCGGTTAATATTTCTCGAACCTTCAACTTTAGCTGTTGCTGGAATTCTTCTGATTGTTCATATTCTTGTTCAAACTTTCCCTCAGAAACTAATGACTTCAACTTAGAAGCTGTATCTTTCTTAACCTGCTTCTTCCACTTTGATTTCCGTTGTCTCCCATCCCGTCGGGATTTTGGGTTCAGCTCTCTAGCCCCTGTACGTTAGCTGTCTCATACAACCCATTTCATTAACTGCATTTCCTTGTTATAATTTATATTTGTATATCAATTTAAATATTTTTAAAGTATTATAACAAATTTATTTCGTGCAATGCACGATTTAAAATACTAGATGAAATATAATAATAAAATAGTATATAATTAAACTAAACAATGTATAGTTAACCTAAACTACACATTATCTATACTATATATAAAAACAAAATCCTG